AAAGCTTGTTTACAGATAAAAAAAATTCAAAGTATTCTGGAAAAATCAGATAAGCAAATAACAAATCTGTGTATTAAAGGGAGTTCTTTCTTAGGGGAATGTATATTGCAGTTGCAGGCCTGTAACAGTTTTGCAACTGCTCACATTAGCAGCAAAGATCATCTTACTAAATGTATGGCTTGTGCAGCTAATTAATGTATCATCACCCTAAAGACACCTACAGAGAAGTCCATTATTAATATTTATACTTAAGGGCTTACCCTCCAAACACCAACAGTTAGAGGTCAGAGCAGTGGAACAGGTCCCTGATAAGGCAAGATTTTGCCACTCACAGAGCAATCACCAACAACACCAAAGCTTTCAGCTACCTCACCTTCTTTCATGCTTTGTTCCTGCGACCCTCAGTGCTCCCTCGCTGTACATCTGTGCTGAACTAACCCTGCTGCACATGGTGCAGGTTTTTTTTCTCTCCCAGAGCACACCACTGCCACTCCCAAACTGTCAAGGCAAAGGAGGACACATCCCATGCTTTTATGGTGCTGTCAGCATGCAGCTTCTGTTGAAGGCCTGCTCCTGTATGCTTAATCTCCTCCTCTTGGATAGCAGTTTCATTAAAGCACAACTGAAAGTTTAGAATAAAGCATTCTGACTTTTCCAGAGAATTTTAAACACCAGCACAGCATGCCCCCAAAGCCTACCTTTTGCATGCTGACACAATCATGCTGCTGCATTTAGAATAAATGATTAAATTTAATTCAGTATCAAGTATTTTGTAAAAAATCCTCACTCCTCTGTTTTATTTCATCGAACCCTAAATGCTCCCCTTAAGATCTTCTCATCACACAGTGGTAGGTTTTTAGGCTTTTAAGAGTATGCATGTCAAACAGCTTAAGAAAAACACGTTTTAAGAAACTGCCTAAATACTTAAAATAAGTATTTATTTCCTTAAAAGTCACACCACTCCAAATGGGCATTCTGAGGGCCAAGCAACCTGCACCCTCTCTTGAGCACTCACATCATTTGCCAGGCAGTGCACTGTAGGACGCATCCTTATTATTGTCCTTGCTGCTTTTGTTGTCCAGCTGGCTTGGTGAAGGCTAGTTACAGTAACACACCGGCCCGCAATTTTTAACCACCTCACCCAGACTCCCGCGGCAAAAATTGAGCTTTTGAGGAGAAATACAAGCACTTGTCTTGCGAGGAGAAGGAGCCCGGGCCGCAGCTTTGCGGTCCGACCGGCACCTGCGGGCTGCGGCAGGGACGGACCGGGCCGGGGACCAAAGCACCGCCACCGCCTGCGGGCACAGCCCGGCTCGCGCACGGGCGCAGCGTCCGCAGCCCCCCGCACACAGCCCGGCTCACCCCCGCATTTCTCCCACGAGCGGGTTTTGTTTGTTCTCAGCTACAAGCGGTTCCACGGCCCAGGGCCTTGCCGGCCTCCCCCCGCACCCCGGGCGCTCCCTCCCTACCTGTCTCGTCCTCGTCGATGCGCAGAGCCATGGAGATGCACTCGAAGGCCCGCTTGTGGCACGCCCGCACCGTCTCGGGCGCCCCGCCGGGCTCGGGCGCCTCGCCGGCCCCGGCCCTGCTGCCCTTGGCGGCCATGAGGGCGCCGCGGGAGAGGCGCTCGCAGAGCCAGGCGAAGAGCAGCCCGAGCTGGAAGGCGACGAAGCGGAGCAGGGCGAAGGCGGCGAAGAGCGGGTACGAGAAGTAGTACAGGTTCCGCTTGTGCGGGGACGCCGCCGCCGCCGCCCCCGCCGGCGGCACGGGGGGCGCCGGCCCGGGCGGTGAGGAGGGAGAGGTGCCGGCGGTCGGAGGCGCGGAACTGGAGCCGGCTGAGCCCTTCTTCTTCCCTCGGCCGCCCGGAGAATTCATTCACCGCCGTCGCCATAACCCGCTGCCAGGGACTGACAACAACCGGCCATGGCGATGGCGGCGGCGGCGACGCCCCTTTCGGCCGGCCCAGGGGGAGGGACGGGGGGCGGGATGCGGGCGGCCCCGGCCGGGGCGGGGGGAGGCGGTACCGCCCCTGCCGCCACGGGAGGCGGTGGTACGGCACCTGCAGGGCCCGGCTTGCCCGCTCCCACGGCCCCAGGGGAGGGCTCTCGGGGGCGCTCAGCGCTGGGCCTGGAAAGCGCAGAATGACAGAATCGGTGTGGTCGGAAAAGGCCTGTGAGATCAACGAGTCTAGCCTTTGACCGATGCGAAACTGGACCGTAGCACTAAATACCGCGTCCGGACCGGTCTTGAACATGATCAGGGACGGTGACTGTACCACCTCCTCGGGCAGTCCATTCCCTAGTTAAACAACCCTTTCTGTGAAGAAATTCCTCCCAGTGTCCACCCTGGACAGCCGCTGGCACAGCCTGGGGAAATGTCCCCTTGTCCTTTCGCTGGTCGCCGGGAGAAGAGGCCGCCCCCCCAGCTGGCCCAGCCTCCTTTCGGGGATGTGCAGGAGCGCAGCCCGGCAGCTCCAGCCCCGGCCCAGTGCCGGCCCATGGCTTCACCGAGCGGACGGGCGATGAATAATTTACCAGGATTAGTTATTCTGGCCGGGATTGTGAGCCGCCCCGCAGGCACAATGCAGCGCGGGCTCCTGGCGCCGCTCCCGCCTGGAGCCACTGCTGGCAGAGCCCGGGGAATTCCCTCGCTCGGAGAGGCGTGGAGCAGCCAGTCCCCGACGGTGTCCCTGCCCCCAGGAGCGTGCTGCGCTGCTTTGTCTGCTCCGCAGCTCTGTAATGGCAATGACAGGCTGGCTCCTCACATGCAGGGAGCTAATGGAATTCACTATACATTATAGATACATGGCTCTGGAAAAAAAAAAAAGAATCTTAACTCTACTCCGCTCTCCTTACCCAAAGTGAACATGGAGTTGTCGAAGCCCTTGACAATTATTTGCCCAGCCATAATATTTGTGTTTCACCAAAGAGATAGATCCTCCAGCTCCCTACTCCTTTGGTTATTGCAAACCTTAAAAATGCTTTGGTACCTTTGGCCTAGCAATCTAGGGGAGGGAGGCATCCATACACCAGCACTTCTGTGCCTGCCGCTATGAGCGAGCGCCTCCCTCTCTGCTCCAACCTTCCCACCTTTGTGGGTGCGTTGTCCGATCTTTTTCATCGTTGTTTTGCTTCGTCACACACACTGTTCTACAAATGAAATACTGAGTGATACTAGATTGTGATAGATCATCTCTGTGCTGCACCCCTGAACTGCACACTGTTGCCCTGATTGGTAAATAATTTATTGTTTTGCATTCTTTTATGGAGAAGGAGAAAATTGATACACTTGGTTTGTCCAGTGTCATTGGTGAGGTGGCACTTTCACCCTCCAATCCACTATCACTTTTGGAAATCTATAAATGTTGAAGTCAGAAAATAAACTTCCCTTTTTTCACCTTGAGAACAATAGTGTGAGCGTGTCGTGTTGTTTCATGTCCTACAGCGACAGCACACAGGAGCTGAGACAGTCCCCAAACTGCAGACAGGTAATTCAGTGCCCAAGCAAGTTTCCCCCAGCTTATAGCAAGAAAGGGCAGTTGGTGTAGCATGTTAATTAAAAGGATACACCAAACTAAAATCACTACTGTCTGCAGTATTCATTCTTCCAAAATTACTATAAAACTACTGGGTTTTTTTTTCTTGTTTGTTTATGCCTCATTAAGTTACTTCCAGTTGCCCCTGGTGATGTGTATTTATTTTCTTAAACGACAGAGTGGAGTGGTTTTCTTTTAATGACAGAACAGTACACAGTTTTCTTACTGTATGAAATAAAGAATGTTATCACATATAAAATACCATACAAACATATAGCAACTATTTATGGCCTAGACCATTATTAGACAGACAGTGAACCTATTAGTACTGAAAAAAATGCAGTGATGTATGTCAAGTACTTATTTTCTGTGTTTTGTAAGAATGATTATGAAAATATTATCAAGTTTGGAAAAATGCTAATCACTTTTTTTTAGAATTTTAAAAGTTCAATAGTAATAAAATGGTTATAAAAATAGTAATATAATTCGAGTAATAATAATTTGGACAGTTTGGATTAGGACAATATGAGACAATAGAAACAAAGAGTTATGGACATCCAGGTACCTTTTTCTGGGCAATATAAGCCCAAAAAGGACACACGTTAACAGAGGATTAACCCTTAAAACCAATAGCCTGTTGCATATTCATACATCTCATACATGATGCATAAATTCCATTCAAATACAGGATTCTGTCTGGTCAGTGTCAACTTCATCCTCTGAATCCTGATGGCGTCTTCAGGGCTGAGCGAGGCAGGAAGAAGTTCATTTCTTCTGATAATGGCGCAATAAATTCTTTTTCTCTGAAAGATTCAGGTGTCCTGTGGCTGCTACCTCGGCGTGAGTCCTCTCTTTAAAAAGAGTATCTTACATAGCATAGTTTCTATTTTAACATTATGTTATAACCTAAAACTATATTTAACACACTACTTAAGAAAATTATACAGCATAACTTTCTAACATAACACATATAATATTAATTTTAAAATTTGGGAAAAGCCAATCATAAAATACGCATTTTTCACATCAAGTATGTTCCAGCCCACTCATGAGAGAATTTTCTTTTAGTATATATAATTGTCCTTTAAAAAAATCTCTTCTTTACTGATATAAAGTTTTAACAGATTTTATAATACCAAAGAACTTCCAGAAGCTTCAAGCAGTGTTAACACTAAGTTATTTCACTAACAAAACTCCACTTTCAGACCCAAATCAGCTTCAGCAACGTTATTTTCAGTGAGCACCACAGTGACCTCCTCAGACACCAAGCCGCACTGATTTACGAGCATATTTCTGTGGGCAAAAGCCCGGGCTGATTTGGAAGCGAGCACACCGCGCGAGTTTTATCCCGACAGGTGACAGAACTCTCCCGCACACGAGCGCGCCCCGAACCTGTCCCGGCCCCGCCTCGCGGGCCGCGGGTGGCGCCTGCGCAGGCGCACTGCGCTCGGGGCCGGCCGCGCGACCGCTTCTCTGACGTCAAAACACTCCGCGACGGCGGCCGCGGTTACTGCGGAGCGGCTCCCGGTGTGTGTCCCTCCGATCCCGGTGTCCCGCCCGTCCCGGACCCATCGGCGGTGAGAGCCCTGCGGCGGGGCCGCCCCTTCCCCGCGGGGTGCCCGGGGTACGGCCGGGGACGGCACCCGCACGTGGCCGCGGTTGCGGCGCGGCCCCAGCCCGGCCCTGCCCGCGGCGGCTCTCGGGGCGCTGTGGCGGGCACGGGAGGGAAGGAAGGAAGCAGGGAAAGGGATGTCTCCGACGTCCTGGGGGGATGAGTGCTGTATTTGCTAATCGCAGTACTGCTGTCCTCAGCGGACGTAACTTCAAGGCACTTCTCGGTTCTGCGTGCGGGAGAAACCAGTTCAAGTTTGGCGCGGGGGGAGCACGGAGCGACTCCCTGTGCTTTCTAGTAATTGTGCCTTGGTAACCATTAGTAACCAAGTGATGCAATATCGCTCAGCTCACATGGGCTTCATCTCAGCCCGCTGACCAGATTTTTTATTGCTTTCCTAGATCTTCTTGGACATACATCAAATTTCACTTTTGAATCATGGAGGGAGAACAGATTATGGAGGGACAGCCACAGGTATTACAAGAAGTGTTTTATGTGCATTATGTTACATGTGTAAAAGGAGAATTTTAGCTTTGCTAACCATGTGTTATTTTACAGGTTCCGGAAAATCCTCATTCCGAATACGGCCTCACTGAAAATGTAGAGGTAACAAAGATTTTGCTGCAGTGGAAGTCACATTTGTGGTTAGGGGAAAGAAGTTGACTCCTGAGTTTAACTTCAGCAAATGTAATATTCCCAATGGAGTTAAGCAATACCTGCCCCTGGTGGAAATAGCTGTAAATATATTTTCTGTTGTGCTACTTCCATTGTTCTAAATGGTACTAAAGTAGATAATGAGCCTTTTAATGAGTTGGGGGTTTTTTTGAAGTATCTTATGATTATTATCTGTTCGGTTGCTGTCTGTGAGAGATACAGATATATATTATGGCACAAAAAAAGCCACCCACACTAGGCTCAACCTATGGTGACTAGACTGGGAGAATCACTTCCTAACTCTGTGGCATTTATTTACTCTTCTTATCAAAGAAAAACTTTCAGCCTCCCTTTATTACAAGTTCCTACTCTGTGCTCAGCTTTTGCAGAAACTACTTTAAAACATCTTCTGGGACTCATCTCTCTGGTAACTGCTTGTGTCTATGCCTCAGCTTCCATGGTTCCTGCAGGACCATAACACACCGGTCCCATGCCAGTAGATTCATGTACATTGCACTGAAAACATTTAGTTTACTGGCAGTGGGAGGGTATCACTCTTCAACTACAGTTGATGGTGTAAGGTGATGCAGCACTTTTTGATCAAAAAGTACCTGGAGGCATTTTGTATGTATTTTCTTTAAAGTGTCCATCTATACTTGAGTAGAGCACAGTCACAAAGTACTTGACTTTAGCAGAGTCCCCTTTGTCAGGCTTCACCTGAATTCCATGTGCTTTTACCATTTTGTGTTAGAGGCACATGTGTACAGGAACCATCTAACTGAGGCTCTTGTTGATATTCCTGTCTTAGTGGTGTAGAGTTCAAATCAGTGAATTTGAACTGAAATTAAAAAAAAAAAGGCAGAAATAAAAATTACTGGGATTGGATGTCTTCTCTTGTAGAAAACTTACAACTTCTTAACATTGTTTCCCCAAAACATAGGAATTTAACAAAAGGTTCCTCTGGATTAGGTTTTTTTGCAAGTAAAAATACGCACTTAATATTCTTAAAAGATGTAAAGAAGTTATTGCCATCAAATTGCAGAGATGGGTACTTTGCACACACACTTCAAAGTAGATGTGGCTGCTATTACCAATGTTCATTCATGTTTTTGGTTTTTTTTTTTACTTCAGAGGATAGTAGAAAATGAGAAACTAAATGCTGAGAAAGCATCAAAGCAGAAGGTGGATCTTCAGTCGTTACCCACACGTGCCTACTTGGATCAGACAGTTGTACCTATCTTGCTACAGGGACTTGCTGTTCTTGCAAAAGAGAGGTAAGATGCTTCCGGGTTCCTTCTGTTCCTAGGAAATGCAGGTCTCAAACTCGGGCAGTGCAGCACCTTTCAGGCCTCCCACACCAAATATGGTATTGCTCTTTGTAAGGTCCTCATTATAGCAGGTTTATGAACCCATGAATTGCTGTGATTGACCGTGCAGGGTGGGTTCCTCACTTCGGCACACATGGCATGACAGGAGTCATTGAATTCATGATCTCCCAATGAGCTACACTACTGTGAAAGTTTTAGAGGGAAAAATGGGAGAGGTTTTGTTATTAATTTAATAATGTAATTCACTTTAGAGAAGCAAGATAAGAGGATGTTCTAGTTCTGAAGATTTTAGTTCTGTGGAATTATAAAATGTTCTGCTTGACATTTAAGAGAAGGAAAGACAAATCAGGCATGACATGCATCTTTGTCAGAGATTAAGATACTTTCTAAAGGGTGTGGCTGAGCCTGCACTGTAAACACAGTCTGCTTCTTACAGAAGCAGACTGATGGTTTATGCTCTGAATAAAGATTGTGCTGCTGAGGTGCCCCAGCTCTCTTTACCAGTCAGTGTAGACAGGTATCCTTCAATAACAGCAAACATTTCTTTATCTTAACAAAACATCTCTTGGTGTATCCTCACTGGTGGCAAATCGTACTTTGTGAGCCATCTCTCAAACTGAAATAATACAATCAAAAGCTGATATAGATGACCATAATTGCATCATGGCACCTACACTCAGAAGAACCATCAAGAGTGTATGAACTTCAAAAGGAGTTGAGAATTTAAACTGCAGTGTACAGACAGCTAATTAAGCAAAATTAGGCACATAGGAAGGTCCACCCATGTGCACATCTGAGGGATGTGCAGATCTTCAGCTGATATCTGTGGGAGTTCTGCTGCAGACTCAAATGTAAAACACAGCCCAAGGTTAATACTCCACCCTTACACTCTGAATACCTGTGTGACAGGCAAACTTGTTCCTCCCTTTCCCTTTTTCTTTCCCTTCCCTTTGCCTTGCCTTGTCTTGCCTTGCCTTTTTTCTGTCTTCATTATGGGGACTCATCACAGAAGTGAAATTGGATCATTGATAGGAGGGGTTAGGAAACACACAGGTAGTATGAACCTACCAGGGCAAACTGTCTGTTCAGCTGAGCATAGTAAACCCTCAGGAGTGAGAAAGCTGAACTCTCAGCTCTGCTGTACAATCCACTGCTTAAAATTGAACAGGAAAATAACTAGTGGATGCTAAGTTATTTTTCAAAGGAATATAGAAATGTTCAGGGAACAGCCCAGTACATCTGATAATCATGCCTGGAACTCAGTAGAAATTACCATCCAGGATAATGAGCATATGGATAAATGACATATCTGGGAGGAGGTCAACACAATTTTTGTTAGGTCTTTTAAGTGTATTGGAGTTTATTGAAGGAGTCAGTAAGCATACATGAAGAGGAATGCAGATGATGCAGTCTGTTTAAATTTCCAAAAAGATTTTCACATTGTTGTTCACTAACAGCTTTTAAAATTAGTTAGTTGCTGTTGGGATTAAAGGAAATGCCTTTATATGGATGAGGAACTGATAGGAAGATATGAGATAAAGGGTAGAAATAAATGTTGAATTTTCACAGTGAAATGAGCTCAACACTAGAATCATGGAAAAGATCACTTACAACAATTTGAAGAAGTGGCAGACAGAAGTTGTTAATGAGACTGAGTTTTACAGAATAGATTTTAAGTTGATTAATTGTAAATAATTGCACAGGAACTTCATAACACTGTGAAGACTGGCATGAAAAAATTTAAACTGACAGAAAGTGACATTGAATCCAAATAAACAAAGTTGTGGACCTCCAGAGGGTAATGAAAAACTCCACTGACAAAATGTTAGATTCTGAGCTGAAAATTACCCTTGTGGAAAAATGATGTTAAACTGCTACATATCTATGTCAATGCACTGCTTTAATAAAAAATAAATTCTGAATGGTAGCACTTAGAAATTGAAGGGGTAAAACCAACCTAAAATTAAAGGGGTAAAAACAAGCATAATGTCACTATTTAAATGAAAAAGTGATGTTCTTACATTTTTAATGCTATGTATAATTTCCCTGTATTCTGGTAGAATGTGAAAAAGTGAGAGTGACAAGGTGGTCATAAGTATGGAATACTATCTCTATATGGAATGACTGACTAGATGATATCTAAAAAAGAGGCTTCTGTGGATGAACATACTGGGAGCCTGTTAAATCACAACAGCACAGAGATGACTGATTAGAGTGGACTGTTTATTATCTCTTCTGATTCAGTAATCAAATTAAATTAAGCAGGCAGCAAATTCATTAACAAACAAAGGGCTGATCCTTCACAGGGCACATAATTAAGCTATTTTTTTGCTCTCAGTTGAGGACATTAACATTTTATTTGTGCTCAAGAGGCAACTGGTCAAAGCTGTAGAGGAATCCACCCCAGACTATTAAGGGTACTAGCTCAGGAATTGGTACATGCTTGGATGCCAAAAGGATAGTCCCGAGAAGTGTCTCTGCATATTTTTGTTGTTGTTGTTGTTGTTGTTTTTGTGCTCTTTATAGGCAGACTTGCTCACTGCCATACCTTTGGTTTGACCTGCTGTGGAATAAGTATGTCATTTATTCTGTGGACAGAATCCAAATTAGCAGGATTCACATGGTATAGCTGGAGGAGTTCTTTTTAAAAAAACTACAGACTTAAGTCCAGTGATCAGAAGTGTTTATTATTGACTACTTGCAAGTTACAGCACTTCCCAAACTTGAAGATTTGTTGTGTTTGTTTCAGTTGCCAGAAACCATGAAAACAACTCTTAATACCCTAAGCTACCCAATAACCACTTGGAAAAAAAAAGAAAAAAGAAAAAAAGCAGAGATTCAGCTTTACTTTAAATAGGATGAGTAAAGAAAGAGGCAAATGCATGTCATATCCAATGATGTAGGTATAGTATTTATGCTTACAGACTGTGGTTTTAGGTATGTCAGTTCTGTTCTAGCAATTTAGTAACATTGAACCCACAGTGACTAAGACCCCTTTTTAAAAACTTTCTTATTAGACATAAACTGGAAATTTACAGAGTCACTCTAGGTAGTTGGTCATCCCTAAATCAATGCTTAGAAGTGTTTGGGAGGAGCTGTGTTGCTTTTAAGGGAAGGTGATTGGTTCTTCAGCTACCTAATTCCATATAATAACAAATAATTACTTTTGATTTACTTTTTTTATTTGCAGACCACCCAATCCCATTGAATTTCTAGCAGCATATCTTTTAAAAAACAAGTCACAATTTGAGGACCGAAATTAACTCCATAAAAATGAGGACAGTTGGGCTGCGAGACTGAAATGCTCATTTGCCGCAATTTGTTTTCTGCTGTAAAAATCCTTTAGCCACGTTGTTGTCTTTCTTAACTGCACAATTTGCTTTATCTTTTGAGTTTATTTAATAAAGAACACTTTACATTTAATTGTTCTCTTGTTTTAAACTGGCTATTAAGAGATTTTGAAAATAAAATACTGAAACTCCACTACTGGATGAAAGTCTGAATAATTCCATCGCATGGCTGATAATTTATCTAACTTAATTGGGTTTTATATAGCACCCTCCAGTGCAACATGCCTAAACAGAGAGCAAACAAGTGCAGAACAATTAAAATTTATTTATTAATTAGAGAGGAGAGAACTTGCTTCAGAACACCAGGAAATGGGTTTAGTTAAAACAAACAGTGAGATCCAGCAGCTGAACAGATCACCTAGAGACAGAATCCCGTGTCTCACATAGGTACATTAATGAGGTGTGCTGTTCAGCATTTGTCATTGCTCTCCTAGGACTGGATTCAGCTGAAACACAGAATGAATTTGGAAGTGACATATAAGAGTTCTGTAATTCAGGTCTCTGTACTGCTACCCTTAGTTGAATTGTCTAAAAACTTGCAGGGACTGAGGTCTTGCTGTTAATCTTAGTAGGAAGGTTCTCACTATTTTACATACATCTTATTTTCTTAAAACAGAAACATTGAATTAGTGCAGTCTAAGAGCAGTAAGAGGGGGGAACAAAAACTGAAAGAAGCCTGCAAACCCCAAATCAAGTGTAAAAGCTGTCTTTGGGAAAATGTACCAAAATTTGGAAGGAGATTACTAATTCTACTGCATTGTGGTGAACACAGTCTCCATCAAACAGTGACACTAAAAAGATACTGAAAGGATTTTAACAACAGTGTTTTGACTTTCTGGAATGACTAATAACATTTAAGTGAAGACAAGGAAGCATCATAAGGACTTGGTACTGCTATTTTTATTGCTAAAATGGTATTCCAACATTTCATAAGAAACAACTTTGCAAGACTGTAAGAACTGTTAAATGCAAAGGGAATCTATGCTGCTTCCCAGCTTCTCTGTTAAGAATTTGTGTAAGACCAAACAAAAAGAAGCAGTTTCACTTTTAATCCTCCCCAGACAGAGCAATTTTCTTAGATTTTTGTACCTGAATTCAGAATACAATCAGATTTCTTACCTGACAGAAATATCTGTCAAGCAGCTGCACAGAACTTGAAACACTCTGGCTTTCTGCACAGTTCTTGCATCAACCTGGAATCTCAAAGCATCAGTCCCAGTACCAAGGGAAGCTGTCCCTGCCAGCAGTGTGCCATCCACTCAGCTGCTGGTGTCACTGGTACCTGGTGTCATCTGCTATTATTTTCCCATCTAGGCTAGAGATTTAATTCAAGAGAATGAAAAAGCCATGTTCACATAGTGGGAGTGTTAGAAGATTTACTACAGCAGCTTTTCTGGGCAGCCTCTTCTAAGAAATAAATTGTAATGTGACTAGCAGCAGTGAACTTACCACTCTAAAAATTAAATCTTAGTGATTACTGTGAAGGTAAGACAAGTCAATAAGATAAACACAACCATTTTCCTTTACTTGTTAAGTTGGCTTCACCCATTGAGAGCTTCTGCACAGAAGATACTCTGTAACAGGAATAAGTAGCAAGTTAATACCTGTATTATCTAGTTCTCAGTTACAAAAGTAATGATAAAGTCCAAATTTTAAAAGCATTTACTTGTTTTAAACTCTTCACTACAAAACAATGAAAATTCTGTGAAGAGACGTGACAGATGCTTGCTATCCCAATTTAATCTAGAAAGTGGTACTGTTTTTCCACAGGAAATAACAGTTCTGAAAGCTTCAAGATAAATTGTATTAAATTTTGAAATACAAATACATGTAGAGTAAAAGCTTGAAGAAGTACTTAAAAATAGCAACTTTAGATGTATGACAGGCCACTGCTAAGTATCTGAAAGCCATTATATCTTTTTTCTAAAATTATTTTTTAGTGCTAACTACCCCAGGTAACCAAGTATATGCTCCAAATGGCAGTAAAATTGAGGGGAAAATAAAATGGAATACCTAGTTTACTTGACAACATGCCTTTCAAGATTACTATTTTAGATCTCCAGTATCCAGAAGTCACTATTCAGTAACTGTGAAAGTATTATATATGTGTCATATGTAGTATTTTGAAGTGTGCCTTTTTAACTGCTTCTACTGAGAACATTGTCATTTACCTGGAGGAGAACAATGACAGAAGAAAGGATTTCCCACTAAAAGCAATTCTGATCAAAGGATTCTACATCCTTCTATTCTGAAGCCAGTTACCACCTAAAATTACAGTTTGACTTGCCAAATCCTTTTTTTGGTTTTTTTTGCTCCTCTGATTTATCAAGGACTTTCTCCAAAATCAGTACATGTCATTGAGCAATCCATTTTATTTTCTGAGGCACTGTCACCATTGTAAAAGCAGTTTGATCAAAGGAACTTTTCTCTCCCCATCAGACTTTCTGGAAATAAAAGACCTGCTTTCAAACATATGAAAAATCTGAAAAATTCTGAAAGATACAAGCAGTTGAAACCTGTAGGTTGGAAAGGAAACATGAGAAAAATTCCTATGCCTACCACGCTTCATAGAGTGGAGGTTTTGATATATTCTTATCATTGTACTAATTACATAACAAATTATTCTTAGCCAAGCCTTAGCTTGTGTTCCCTATGCCATTTCATAGTCAGGATTCATTTCAAGAGTGACTACATAGCCTAGATCACAGAAATACAGAATGCCAGCTGTTATAGAAAGAGACATTTTACCATGATGAAAAGTCTATCAGCACCATTTCTGCCAGTGTTCCCATTCAAATACAGTTTTGTGCAAGGATTTCAAATGTAAATGTACCATGAATAATTTTGGGGCAGTTTACATCAGTGCTAGTGCAGCACTGACTAGGAAAATGTCACATTCCCATTCCAAATGTGCTTTTAGCTCTCTTCTAGAAGTTTGCTTTGCAATAGTGTGTAACAGACCCGTTTTCCAAAAGGAGCATAAATTGATGAAAGACTGCTGGGTGGTTGAGCAGTATTTACAAGATGGGTAATTACCCACTGATATAATCTCAGATGCTCTTATGTTGCACAGGAAGTGGAGAGATTTCCCTTGTAAGGACTTGTGAAGCTGGGGGTGAGGTGGGGGTGTCTGCTTTTAACAGCAGAAGGAAGGACTGGTAGGAACAGCAGGTTCCTCAGATGCAGAACAACAGTTTGTAAATAGAAAAACCTCAAGTAACAGTGAACAGCTTCCTGAGAAGGGAGGGGACAGGAAAAGGGCATTGTGAAAAACACCATAGGAAAGAACCACGTGCAAGAGGACAATGGGAGCAAAAACCAAGAGAGCAACAGACCATGAAAGCTGGGCCAGCTGAAATCCTCCCATCCCAGCTGCTCACAGGGTGTTACTGGAGGAAAACCCTGCATGCTAAGGACACTTGCCAGTGCCTTCACCCTATTTTCCAGGTAAGGAAGAACCTGCCAACAGACACACATGTGCAGCAGAGGTCTGTGCTTTATGGGTGTGCAAACCTGGGGGATTGTCCATGCATCGTATCAGAGAAAAATGATTGGAATAACAGCTTGGAACTGTTAAGTTACTGTTCCAATACAGTCCTGTTACTGTTCCCCATACAAACAGTGCTTGGAAGAACTGTAGATGAAGAAGGAGCATCTTCCAAACTAACCCATTTCCACTGAAAGCTCAGCCTAGTTTCTCAGTTTTTGGCTAGAACATTTTGACACTTTGTGTCCTGAGCACCAGGAAGCCCAGCACTGCCATCGGTGGGATGGACAGTTCTCTGTGGAAAGGGACCCACAAGGATAAAGTCCAACTCCTGGCTCTGCATAGGACACCCAAGACTCACACCATGTGCCTGACTGTTTTCCAAACAGTTTTTGAACAGCTGAGTGCTTTTGTGTTTCTGCCTCTTCCATGTACAGGTGGTGCAGAGGGAGCACATCACCGCTCCTTACACAAAGAGCTGATGATCAGGAGAGGACAGTCACCAACAGGAACCCACAAATCACTAAACACTGCTCAATGGTATGAGGACCACTTATGATAGGGTACAAATTAATACCCAGATGTCACCCTTAGCAGTGGAACTGGCAGAAGTTCCTTTTGTAGTGTTCTGGCTGACAAGCTCTGTCAGGAGCAAGCAAAAACTGGAGGATGTTCTTCAGCTTCCGTGGGCTCTGGTCTGACAGTGCCAATTGATAACAGAGAAGGGCAGAGAATCACCTGGCTGTCACAGTGCCTGTGACACACCTCAGTTTAAGGATTGGCAAAAAGAAAGCCTGTGCTTTCTGTGACCTCCAACACTGAGCTGTAGTGTTCCTCTGCATTCTATGGGGATGCTGTGTTCATGTTACACCCAGTAAAAACTTCATCCTAATCTAGGAGAGGTAAAACTACACACAAGGAAAGAAAGGGCCGTGAGGAAAGCAAGGGAGAAGGAAGCTTAAAAAAGAGGCATAAGGAGAAAAGGAATCCAGCCTGTTATACAGCGACAAGAAGAAATATATTTAAGAAATTTTAAAAGGCAAGCTGAAGAGGAAAAAACCACTAATAAAGAAAGGTAGTATACCCAGAAGAAAATACTTGGAAAATGTTTTTACTTACTAAACCACCTGGTTTACTACTCAGAAGTTCTTATATTTTAATTTAATTGAAAGGAAATGCTTAGAGAAAATGAAAGCTTTTCCTCTAAGTGATAGAAACTAATAGCAGATAATTAAAAATTATGTTTTATAATGAAATGTTCCTCCCAACAGCCTCTTCTAACTGTTGGTGATGGACTGTGGGACAATGGTGTATCAAATAACTTGAATATACCCTGATGTTACCCGTTTTTAAAGTATATAATCACAACATGTACTTTTCTCCATGCAGTAAACTTTATCCTCTGCTGCATTTGTTAACTTTATTGAAGGATTAGTTTATTGAAGGATCACTGCAGAAACCAGTCTTACTACTGAAGTTTATGTAAATTATTTCAGAGGTACAAAAGGATATCAATATAGTTAATGGTTAGTATAACTACCAATATGGTTTTATGTTAAAACAGTCGGGCATGGTATTTTTTCCGGTCTATGCAGCAATTATAATCTGCATTAACCTTTTTGAAGCCACTGTTTGTAAAATAACAA